TCCCAGGTAGGGCTCTATCAGACCACCAAGGATAATGCCCATTGTCCAGCAAGCTACCTCCACTGACATCAACCACGGCGTCTCGATGTTGGAGCCTTGATTTTGTCTGAAATTCGAAAACAGTTGTCACATAGTGTATTTATGTCAAAGATGGTGTGGGTCAATTTTGGTAATTCTTTCACATATATGTGTGTCAAATATGGAAACTTGTGTTAAGGTAATTATGTCCAATAAGGTATTTGTGTCAAATATGGTATTTGTGTCAAATAAGGTATTTGTGTCAAATATGGTATTTGTGTCAAATAAGGCTTTTATTTCAAAGACGGTATTTGTGTCAAAGATGTTATGTGTGTCAAGACTGAATTTGTTTCAAAGATGGTACGGGTGTCAAGGATGTTATTTGTGTCAAAGATGGTATTTGTGACAAGGATGGCACATGTGTCAAGGATGGTACTTGTGGCAATTATGATTTGGTCAAGGATAGTATTTGTGTGATTTGTGTTTAATGTCGTATTTGTGTCCAATTCAGAATTAGTGGCATATGTATTGTTTGTGTCTTAGCTGTTATTTGTGTCAAATGTGTTAATCTGTGGCTATGTTTAGGAAAAACACACGGAATAAAGAGGAGAAAGTTGGGGTGGAAGCGTGTAACGCTGAGGCTTGGTGCAGTGATACCAGGTCTTGGATGAACATTAGCACAAAAGTATCGATATCTTTGTTTTCTTAATTTGCTATTTCAACGGCAAAGAGGATTTTGGTGCAGTGATACCAGGTTTTGAATGAACATTAGCACAAAAGTATCGATATCTTTGTTTTCTTAATTTGCTATTTCAACGGCAAAGAGGATATTGGTGCAGTGATACCAGGTCTTGAATGAACATTAGCACAAAAGTATCGATATCTTTGTTTTCTTAATTTGCTATTTCAACGGCAAAGAGGATATTGGTGCAGTGATACCAATTCTTGAATGAACATTAGCACAAAAGTATCGATATCTTTGTTTTCTTAATTTGCTATTTCAACGGCAAAGAGGATATTGGTGCAGTGATACCAGGTCTTGAATGAACATTAGCACAAAAGTATCGATATCTTTGTTTTCTTAATTTGCTATTTCAACGGCAAAGAGGATATTGGT